TAAATAGACCAGTAATGAGTAAGGATATTGAATCAGTAATGAAAACTCGCCCATAAAAAAAACAAAAAACAAAAAAACTTTGGACCTGATGGTTTCAAGACTGAATCCTACCAAACATTTAAAGAATTTATACCAATCATCCACAAACTTCCAAAAAATTGAACAGGGGAGAATACTTCCAAATTCACCTTAGGAGACCAGCATTATTCATAGGGTTGTTGGAAAAGTCATGATACGTATTTGCATAGAAAAATACTTCATGACTTTGCCAACATCCCAATAGTAAGGAGATTGAATAGGTAATCAATGTAAAAATAAAAATAATTTTAAAAGACTTATTTATTTAATTTTATTTATTACTATTGTTTAATTTGACCAGAGAGAGACAGAGCAGAAAAGAGGGAAAGTGAGAAAGCAAAGAAAGCCTCTAGGTCTGGGACTCAAACCATGGTCAACCACATGGGAGTCCAGTGCCTTACCAACCATACCACCTGCCTGGCCCAAAATCAAAATAATTTAAAAAAGAAAAATACCCTCAACAAGGGAAAGGCCTGGATCAAATAGCCTAATTGTTGAATTCTACCGAACATTTAAAGAATTGACAATGGTCCTCTTCAAACTCTTCCAAAATTTGAAAAAGAGGAAACACTTCTAAACTCACTCTATGAAGTCAGCATCGTCCTGACAAAGACACTACAGGGAAACTACAGACTTATATCTCTGATAAATACTGATGCAAAAATTCTAAGTGCTGTAGAAGGATTATATACACTATGACCAAGCGGGATTAATTCTGGGAATACAGGCAGGGTTCAATGTATGAAAATCAGCCAATGTAACACACCACATTAACGAATGAAGGAAAAACCATATGATCATCTCCATTGATGCAGAAGAATCATTTGCTAAAATTCAACACCCTGTTTTGATAAACTAGTAGTTTAATAAACTAGTAGTAGAAGAAAACTGCTTCAATATTAAAAAGGTCACAGAAAAAAATTCCCACAGCTAACATCATATTCAGTGATCAAAGAATGAAAGCTTTTCCTCTATGATGAAATTGCTAGTCAGAGCAATTAGACAAGATGAAGAACAGGCATGCAAATTGGCAAGGAAGAGGCAAAATTATCTTCTGCTCTCAGACGACATGACCTTATGTGTAGGGAAAAAAATACCTGAAGATTACACATACACACACATATGGAAAACTGTAAGAAATTAATAAACATAATTCAACAAACTTACAGGATACAAAATCAACATACAAAAAATTATGATTCTATGCATTAACAATGAGCTATGTGAAAAGGAAATTACAAAAATGATTTTCCACTTACAATAGCATAAAAAAATAAAATACTTAGGAATAAACTTAACTAAGCAGGTGAAAATCTTGTATACTGAAAACAAAATATTGCCTAAAGAGTTTAAGCAAGACACAAATGGAGGGCTAGCCTGATGGCCTAGTACTTAAGGGAGCTGGATTCCACATGGCTGACTGGAGTTCAAATCCTGAAGGAATTATTAGTGGCTTGAAAAACATGCTATTTGTGTGTGTGCATGCCCCAAATCCCAATAGGATTGAGAAATGAAGGAGAAGGGATTGTGACGTGACCACATTCCATTAGGAGGTGTTCTCTCTTTCTCTCTTATATGCACTCTGACAATTAAAAGAAAGACAAAAATAGAAAGATATCCCATGTTTGTGATTCAAAGATTTAATATTGTTAAGATGTCAATACCACTAAAGTGATCCAGAGATTCAATATAATCCCTTTCAAAATCCCAATGATTTTTTTTTCATAAAAATAGAAAAGTGTATCCTGAATTTCACTTGGAATAAGGAACCTTGAATAAACAAAGGAATTTTTTAAAAATAATAACAAAGGTTTTACACTTTCTGATTTCAAGACTTACTACACATCTATAATAATCGAAGCAGTGAAGACAGACATAGTGATAAATGAAATAAAATAGATAGCCCAGAAGTAAGCCCACATATATACAATGCAATGACTGTTTTTTTAATTTTTATTTTTTGAGAGGTTTTTGCTATAGGACGCATGCACTCACCAGACAGACAGAGGGAGACAGAAAGACAGAAAGCGAGAAATCACCCCCCAGGGGGGATGGCCACACTGCAATCCCTTCTCTTCCATTCTCCTTTCAGGATCTTGGGCACGCACGCACACGCACCCAGCGTGAGTTTTAAGCCACTGGGTCCGGGACGTGAGCTGCGGTCGACTACGTGGGAGTCCAGTGACATAGCCATTATGCTAACTGCTGGTCCCCAGTGCAATGACTTTTTGACAAGGGTGACAGCACCATTCATTGTAGAGGGGATACCCTCTTCACCAAAGGTGCTGCGAAAATGGGATATCCATTGGAAAAAACAAATGAAGCTATAGTCTTACTTAATATCATATACAAAAATTAACTAAAAATGCATCAAAGACCTAAATGTGAAAGCTAAAACCCTCTTAGAAGGAAACATGCAGCAAAAACTTTATAATACTGGATATGGCAGTGATTTCTTGTATATGGCATGAAAAGCAAGGAAAATAAACCAAAAAATAGATAAATTGGACTATATCAAGACCTAAAACTTCTATGTATCAAAGAACCCAAACAATAAAGTAAATAGACAATCTATACATGGGGAAAATAATGTGCAAATCATCTCTCTAAGTGGTTAATATTCAGAATTGCATTGTCAGAGAAGTCATGATGTATTTTTTCTATGCAAAAATGTGTCATGACTTTTCTGACAACCCAATATTTAAAAATTCTTACAACTCACAACAACAACAACAAAAAAAACCCAAACAGCATGATTTAAATATGGGTAATGGGCTTGAATAGAAGATATACACCTGGGTAACAATCACATAAAAAAGTTTTCAATATTACTAATCATTAAGAATAGGCAAATCAAAATCATCATACAATTCCACCTTACATTCATTAGGATGGCTACTAAAGCAAAACAAAACAAAATAAACAAACAAAACAAAAAGAAGTGTTGGCAAGGTTGTGGAGAAACTGGAACCCCTGTGCATCAAGTATAAAGTGGTGCACTTGTTACAGAAAACAATATGGCAATCTCTCAAAAAATTAAAACAAAATTATCATATGATATAGCAATTCCATCCTAGATATACACTCAAAAGGATTGAAAGCAGGGTCTCAAAGAGGTATTTGTACATCCATGTTCCTAGCCTTATTATCCACAATAGTTATTATGTAGCGGCAACCCCAAACTGTCCACTGACAGATGAAGAAAATAAAAAAAATGCAGTATAAGAGGAGACTTCAAAAAGTTTGTAAAAAAGTGGAATTAAAGTAAAAGTTTATTTTGGTACCAAAAAGAAAACAAACAAACAAACAAACAAAAAAACACATAATAAAAGCTCACCATTGAAATCCATGTATTCCTCTCCTAACAGTGCACATTTCCCATGAACTTTTTGAAGACTCTTTATATCACACAATGGGATATTTATTCAGCTTTAAAAAGGGCATCACTTCTACCATGTGATAAAACATGGATGAACCGTGAGGTATTATGTTAGTTGAAATAGGACAGCACAAAATGACAAATACTAGATGATTCCACTTGTGTTAGATAGTTATAGTAGTCACAAATCACTGAAACTGAAAATGATAATGATTGACAGAAGGTGGGGGGGATGGAGAATTATTACTTAACAGATACAGAGTTTCAGTTTTTTAAGATAAAAGGCATGGTGGAGATGGATGGGGGTGATGGTTGTCTAACAATGTGAATGTACGCAGTATCACTGAGCTACACACTTAAAAATGGTTATTTATGCTGGTAAATTTTATGTTTTGTGTATTACATCACAATGACAAATTTAAAAAAATTTTAGAAGACATATGCTAAGAAAAGGAAAAACGAAAAGTAAAATAATATCTTAGCCCAGTGATGTAGCTTTGGAGGGCATTTTATATTGATAAACAATTGAAAATAATACAAATTCCTTTTCTCTGTAAAATCTCATTATCTTCTAACTTAAGTGTTTTTAATTTATATGTATTCTTCACCCATTAGTTTTTTAAAGTTGATTTATTTCCTCCATGAGCAAGAGAGACAGAGAGAGAGGCAGAGAGGCAGGCCCACAATAGGGTCCCTTTTCTGCAACACACTCCCAGCCTCGGCCAGCCTGAATCATGGACTTCCTGGGCCAGATGTACTCAAGAGGTCTTTGGACACAAACCAGGAGCTTTTCTTCATGGGTCAGTTTTGCAAAGCATAGTGTTTTACCTCTCTGCCATTACTCAATCACTCTATAGTTATTTTGATCAATTTATTTATAAGCTTTGCCCAATAGAATGGAAAAAATGTTTTAAAATTCACTTTTGAAAATAATTTTTTTGGAGACTGATACATACACTTTCTATGTCTGATTTAAAAGTTTTCTGAGTTCCAGATTCACATATATATAAATGTATATTAAAATTATTTACTTAAAATATCTTGTTTTTAAATTCTTCATATTTCCACTAAAATTTTTATTTATAATTTGATTGCTATTTAAAACTATTCTGTAGATTGCATAGGAATTATATCTCTAATGATAAGAGTAGGATAAAGGAAGGCACTAAACTCTCAAAGACTGCATTAATTCTAATTGACGTCTAAGGTAGATGTTATATTTAGACCACAGAAATAGTATACTAGTTAGAAATTTGGGACTAACCATTCTCTAAGGGGTAAATCTGAAACAAAAACCCCTGAAACAGGTAAAATCATCTTTGATTTACAAATCTCAAAAGTGTCAGTAAACTAACTTGCAAAAATACAGCAATTACAGTTAAATTTGGACTGCAACATAGGAATCTTTTCCAGAACATGCAGTGAAGATTAGTGAGGAGCTTCTATGAGAAGTGAACAGTGATTTCTACAGACTATGGAATGACTGACGGGAAAACTTCTGATTTGAGTTGTCCTTCTAAAAGAGGATAAAGTCTGAAGTGACCTTATTTTAGGAATTTCAAAAGGTGAAGACCTGGCTTCATCTTGAGACGAGACAGGACAGTTTCCATCCTCGGAGGGGCCTTCACTTTGACGTGGGATAAGGCTACCAGCACTTCTACAAGATGAAGAAAATCCAACACTACGGCGGGGATGGGAAGTTACATTTTGAAAGGGATGCTGTTGATCTTTACTTAATTGGCCACTTTGTTGAATATCAGTGGTAATTCCATTTGGCTGACAGGCAGAGGAAGTACAAATTGGACGAGAAAAGGATGCTGTGTTTTGTTGACTGGAGAGTTTATCATTAGTACTTCGCCTGAGTGAAGAAGCAGTTCCTGCTTCAGTATTCATAAAATGTACACTGCTACATTCAGGAGCAGAGAAGGTTATATGTCTTTGAACATCAGTATCATTTGGCTTTTTAGAAAAGATTTCAATTTCATTTACATTAATCATGGTCTCACTTGATTGAGGATCAAAAAACAAGGCACTCTTGTGACAGGAAACTATACTTAGCTTAGGGGAAGAGAAAAGTCTTTGGGACCTAAAGCCATCAAAATGTTCTGAGGAAGATTGAACTTTATTGAAATTTAGGTCTTGATAATCAAAATTAGCTCTACTTTGTTGTCGAAAAAGGGAAGTATGGTCTCCTTGGAATCGAGCGAATAAAGATTGTCTTCTTTCAGAGAAAAATGAACGAGCACTTTTGAATGAAGAGGTACTTGACAGAGAAGATAACTTTCTACTTCCTCTGTGTGAACTGACTTTAAGCGTTGCAGAACAATGAGCTGTTTTAAGACCGAGAGATGGTCTTGGTTGTGAACTAGAAGAGGCTCCATAATGCTGGGGTTCTGAAATAACTTGATCTTCAAAACGATTTTGTTGGAAGTTCTGGTCTTCTTTGCAGCAGCTAGAGTGAAAAAAGTGCCAAATGAGGAAAAAAAAAATTGGGAGTAGAGTGGAGTCCTGCCAAGCCTCCTGAATAATAATATACACCTTACCAAGCAACGGAGAATAAGAAAAATAGGGTAGCTGAAGCTGACGATCACAGAGATGTACCCCAAAGAATGCCTGAGTCTAAAAGATTATTTACCTACACGTTACCTGTCCACTGTACTAAACCTTGGAAAGAGAAGTTGAAAGATTTAGGAAAACAGAGAAGAGGAAAGATCAGGGGAAACGTACAATAGGGCACCAGAACTACAATCCCCTCTGAAGGAGAAGGCAGAACTTTTATTTTGAAAAATAATAAATTACAGTATTTTTTTTTCAGACTATTAAACTACTCTATTTAAAGGAGTTAAGTAGAATAAACTTATATCCTGGTAACCAATTACATTTCCAAAGAGTAAGCATGGATGAAGCAGATCCTCTCTGGAGAGAATGTTTCTGCTAAATATCCAGTCACTCCAGATACCCAGCTATGGTGGGCAACTAAAGGAAGCATTAAAGCTTGGTTTATGAATATTTTCATTGTTCTTGAGCACATGAAACACACAAGAGGTGTTTTTAAAAATACTTACCTTAGGCACTTTCCCATTTTGAATTTAATCCCAAGTATGCCTTTCCCTTCCCTTTAGGCCATCACCCTTAAGCCGTGAACGCCCTGTGTGGTGGAACAGGTCAGAAGACTGAATGCTTGTGCTGGAGGTGGAATCAACATGGCAATAACAGAGTGTGATGACAGCAGACTCTAGAATCTAATGACATCAGTTTAGAAACAAAATGTTCTGTGGCTTGCCGTCTAAAAAGCTGCAATTCATGTGACTGTGGCATGCCTATTCTAACTTTCTAACATTCAAGGGGTGAAAAAAGAGCTGGATGAAGACAATAACTTGGGACTGCCTCACTAGCTGCCTTCCATAGCTGGTCTGTTACTCTTTCTTCTTTTTTTTTGTTTTTGATTTTGCCATACGGTGTGTGTTCACCAAAGAGAAACAGAGCAAGATAGAGAGAGGAAGAGTAAGAAATCAACCCCCAAAGGCTTATCAATAAATGAAATCCTTAGTCTCCAATTCAGGAAACAAAAGTTTAGTCCTTATTTTGCTTAACCAAAAGCATTGCAACTGAAAGGCTGCCATTAAACATATTTTTCTAGTTCATGGGTTGGCAAATTATACCCTGGAGGCCTGATTCACCTGCCACTTGCTTTTGTAAACAAAGTGCTATTGCAGCATGGCCATATTCATATTGTCTGTGATGCTTTTACACTATAGTGGCAGAACTGAACAGTTGAAACAGAAATTGTAGAGTCCTCAAAGCCTAAAATTATTATTTTTTTTAGAGTTTTTTGCTACAGGGTGCATGCACTCACCAGAAAGGCAGAGACAGACAGAAAGACAGAGAGACAGAAAGTGAGAAATCACCCCAGGGGGGATGGTCACGCCACAATCCCTTCTCCTCCATTCTCCTCTTGGGATCTTGGGCACGCACGCACATGTGCCCGGTGTGAGTTTAAGCCACTGGATCCGGGACTCGAACCACGGTCGACTACATGGGGGTCCAGCGACATAACCATTACGCTAACTACTGGTCCCATCAAAGTCTAATATTCTTATAGAAATAGTCTGGTGACTCAGGTTCTACTGCATTTGATACATTTGATCATTTCCTTATTACTGATAAAATAATCTTTTTGTTTGTTTTTAGAACTACTAAAGATTAGACACAGAGTAAAGTACCTCCCTATATCATCTGGTTTCAAACTTAAAACAACAAGAGACATGCATTTATATTAACCACATATTAAGACAGATAGATTCTGGCTTAAAGAAATCAAATTATATGAGGAGGTCTTAAAAACAAACAAACAAAAAACCTATGCATGGATTTAAAAAAACATTGTATCCAAATAAATTCCTACTTGATTCCATTTTCCTATGAACTTTTTGAAGTTTTCTTATATTGTTAGTAATAGGCTGATCTAGTACTTCATTTGGGTCAGAATGATTCTAAAACTTATGGTCTTTACCACTGTTCTCAGAATGTTGTCCTCTCCAGACTTCTGTGATAGTTTGTCCTCTGGTTCTTTTCTCACTTCTTTGTCTAGTCGTCAGTCTTCTTTTGTAGGTGCATCCCATCCATCTCTGCCTCCTCTTTCAGTAATGTTTGAAGAAGGCTGTCTTCCACTTTCTTCTTTCTTCCCATGCTACACATTCTACTTGAGCAATGGCATCCATTTCTATGGCATCCAGCTCCGGACATACTGAGGGACGCCCAGCACATGAACTGTCACTGAAGAAATGCTTCTTTCAACCCTTCAGCAGCTTCATTTCAGAGACTACAGGTGAGTGAATTTTCATGCTGGCAGTGGATTCACTCTCTCAGCAAGCCCTGCCCTGGCGGGTCCAGTACCTGTCTGCAGGATGCAAAGGTACTCAGCACTCACTGCTCTGTTCTTGGCCTTTGGTTAACCTCCTGTTGCATTCTTTTTTTTTTTTTTAAATCATTATAATTATTATTTTTTATACATTCGATTGTTATACATCATTTAGTTTATACAGAGAATTTACCCAGCGTGAAATATACCTCAGACAAGTCCAGCTGAAAATACTATACATATCATCAACAGGTAATAAAAATCCCACTGTATTCTTTAAAAGATGAGTTTGACACGTGAGACTTTGTTTTGTTCCCAGCAGTATCTCCAGGGCATGAACAGTGCCTGGCACGGAGTAGACATTCACAATGAATGAATAAGAGGGCTTTCAAATGTTAGTGTCATTGTTTTAAAAAAATAAATCTATAAAAGAGAAGACCTAAATGGCCAATAAGCCGAGAGGAAAGCCTAAATGACAGGCTATGAAAAGATACTCAACTTTACTAGAGTTTAGGGAAAGGCAAATTGAAAAATGATTACTTACCATTTCATCTCCAGCAGTTGGCTAAAATGGAAATGTCTGACAATATAAGAATCTGTATAGGGAGATAAGAATTTTCATACACTCCTTATAGGATTGTGAATTGGTATATTTTAAAGAATGATTTAATTATATATGATAATAATGTAACAATAGTATATAACTTAATTCCATTTCTAAGTACATATTTTCAAGAAGTTCTTCCACATATGCCTAAGTAATTATAAAGAAAGGTATTCAATGAGATATTGATTAAAGGAGCAAATAAATGATATCCTAAACATCCATCAATAAGAAAACATAGGCTCTGTGGCATGGCGTAACACTAGCACCTTGTGATGCAGGAAGTCATACAGTGACAACAGGTCGGATCTCAAGTCAGCCTGAAAAACATGCTAGGTGTGTGTGCAGGTACCCAGAATTCTAAGGAGCTGGAGGGCTGGGGAAAGTGGATGGGATTACAAGACCCTGTGGAGCGTGCATTCTCTCTACCTCCCTCTCTCTTCTGCTCTCTCTCATGCATGCATGCGTGTTCTATCACAAAAATTAAATAAGGTGTATTCATACAATGGGATATAGTATAGAAATGGAAAATATTGAAATAAGTTTACATACATAATTATGAAAAAAAATCTCAAAAACATTTATTGCAAAAGCAAATTACAAAATTTTATGTATCATATAATGCCACTTACATAAATTGTAAGAACAAAAGACCTTTTTGCTTTGCTTATGTAAACATGCACATGTAGGAAAAAACATTAAAACTTTCAAGGAAGAATACATACCAATTTCAAGGTAATGGCTATTTCTGAGAGAAGGGAGTAAAAAGGGGACTTCAATTATACAGGTAATGTTTCTTTTTTAAAAAATAATCTGAAACAGAAAACTTTTTTTTTTCAAATTTTAGACTAGTACAACCTTGAAAGATACACAATCATTGAATAATGAGTATATGAATCTGTATTTACCTCAATGCATTGCTTCTCCCATTTATAAGTTATCCCCTGGTTAGACTTTTTTTTTTTTTTGGAGAGATTTTCACTGTAGGGCGCGTGTGCTCGCCAGACAGACAGAGAGAGACATAGAGACAGAAAGCGAGAAATCACCCCCCAGGGGGGATGGTCACGCCGCAATCCCTTCTCCTCCATTCTCCTCTCGGGATCTTGGGCACGCATGCACACGCGCCCGGCGTGAGTTTTAAGCCACCGGGTCCGGGACACGAACCGCGGTCGACTACGTGGGAGTCCAGCGACATAGCCATTACGCTAACTGCTGGTTCCCTCCCCTGGTTAGACTTTTAAAGTTGGCCAATTTGTTTTTTGGTTTTAGAGCCTAAACATGGCGGAATATGATTTTAATTACAATCTAAATCAAAATAAGCACTCCTTTTCATTCTTGCTGAATACAGGACTGGAATGATATAATGAAAATGCCTAAATAATAGCAGTGATGCAATAATAATCAATTCAACTTGGAAATCATCTTAAGGAAACTTACCCTCCTTCACTTTCTGCTTCCTCTGAACTATTACTTGTTCCTGAACTTTGAACTGTGGTGGGTCTTCTTTTTCTAGCTCTGTGCTGAGGACTTATCCTATGAACAGCTATCTTTCCTCCAAGTTCACCTTGTATATATTCCTCCAGCTTTGGAATAGCTTCTTTAAGAAATCTGATTTCCTCTTTGAGTTCTTCCATATTTGTCATTAATTCATTTAACTTCTCCAGTATCTGAAGTTGCCTTCCTTGAAAGATTGTGGCTGTTTCTTGACTATTATGTATATCACCTTTCAAACTTATTGACTCAGATGTATTACTCAGAGAAAGAAATTTAGGCAGATTCATTGCTGTCCTTGGCTTACGGACTTTGTGGTACCACAACAGCAGCAGGCTGATTCCTGCAGTTCCCACCATGATGCCAAGTATGAGTTCTTTGTTTGTAGAATGAGGCATTTCTTGGTTTTTGTTTCTAAAATTAAAAGCATAAACACAAGTGACTATTGTTTTTGTCCAAGACAAAAATATTAGTGCTTTTTCAATCAAAAGAAGCCAACTGAACAGCATCCCCCAAAATCCACTTGATAAACCATAAACTAATAAATAGTATGAGTAATGAATTCTTTAATGTACGTGGTCTAATGGAAATAGCTACTGGGAACCAGCAGTTAGTGTAATGGCTATGTCGCTGGACTCCCACCTAGTCGACCGCGGTTCACATCCCGGACCCGGTGGCTTAAAACTCACGCAGGGCGCGTGTGCGTGCGTCCCCAAGATCCCGAGAGGAGAATGGAGGAGAAGGGATTGCGGTGTGACCATCCCCCCTGGGGGGTGATTTCTCACTTTCTGTCTCTCTGTCTCTCTCTGTCTGGCGAGCGCACGCGCCCTATAGCAAAAACCTCTCCAAAAAAAAAAAAAACCCAAAAAACAAAGGAAATAGCTACTGTAAAGTCTAGTGCAAGTACCAACTTTAATTCAGAATTGTATTCTGCATGGCAATCAGAAGGTACTTTTCATTGCATATTTTAAAGAGTTCGACAAACAGAAGTACAAGTATCTTCATAAATATCTGAGAACAGTATTCAAGATATATTCTCAAAGAGGAGATTAGGCACTTTCTCAAAGAGGAGATTATTAGAGTACTGCCATCTATAATCCCTGACAAAAGGGAAAGAAATGAAATCAATCTTAGATGTTCCTAGATCTCCCATTGAAAGTTGCTGGACTTTGGAACAGAAAGGGGAAACCAAATAGCCTGGGAGCCTCACTAAGTTGAACAGAGATCAGAGTTCAGAGAAACTGAAGCGCCAACAATTTCTGTGGCAGAATA